CGGAAACGGATCTGGCCGATATTCAGCGAATCGAGCTGAATGCCGTGCGGGAGATGGTGTTACGAAGCACCGAGGAAAAAGAACTGGAGACCATGAAAAATCCTAAACCGCAATCACGTATTGAGGCCATGGATCAACTATCGTTTTGGGGAGATAAAAAAGCGGAAGAGAAGAAGAAGAAATTCGCATTCRTAACACCCACTGATGATTTTATACCCCTGAAGACTAGCAAGTGAAGTGGAGTGGGGCAGCGCACCGATGACCAGCCAAGTGTGTCTAAGATGCTGACCAGCAACAATTACATCAAGCACCATATATAGAGAACATTATAATGCTGAAAGGGAAATAATGCCCAACTAAGCGTCTAATGCAAACAAAGTGCCAACATTTGACTCTTGATGAATGTGCAGCCAATAAATCCATTTATGCTAAGCACTTGCTTATTATTACAATCCGCAATGCTGCACACACGTATATATACACACACACACACATACATACAGTCAACAACACATCAACATTTAACCCTAATTTGCATTTATGTGCACATGAAAGCTGTTTGGTTTATAGTAGGGACCCGAAACCGCTTTGAAGCCTGGCCTCGGCGATTACCTGGCGAGTGCTTTTGTGTCTTTAGCTCTGCATAAAAGCAATAAAAGGAATTCGCAAAAAAAAGTAGTCAAGCGCACACACACGTGCACACGTTAATGTATAGGCGGCACACTAATACACACAGCTACTTATAAACTCACCTTAATTAAACGTGATTAAGTAGATTTCCTCGTTTTTCTGCTCAACGAACTGTTTAGTTGTCGATGTGTTTGTTGTTTTAGTTTTTTTCTTTTTTTTTTTTTTTTGCTTTTCTTTTTGTGTGTACGTTTGTATGTGTGTGTTTGTATCACTGTGTGGCCTGTGCTTATTAGTGTACATATATACTATGCACCCAATCGACAGTCGGCATAACACACTAGAGCAACTAGTTGGCCACACATTAAACAGATATTATGTCAAGAATTCCATATTCTATGTCTAGCAAATTAACAGAACAAGAGTCGAACAGAAATATTCATTGAAAGGTTTTTTGGCTGAGAAATATATGATTTGGAATTATCAATTTTGTCATTGTCATTGTCATTGTCATTGTCATTGTCATCGTCATTGTCATTGTCATCGTCATTGTTATTGTCATTGTCATTGTCATTGTCATTGTCATTGTCATTKTCATTGTCATTGTCATTGTCATTGTCATTGTCATTGTCATTGTCATTGTCGTTGTCGTTGTCATTGTCATTGTCATTGTCATTGTCATTGTCATTGTCATTGTCATTGTCATTGTCATTGTCATTGTCATTGTCATTGTCATTGTCATTGTCATTGTCATTGTCATTGTCATTGCCATTGTCATTGTCATTGTCATTGTCATTGTCATTGTTTTATTATTGTCATTATCATTAACATTACTCTACATAATTCTGCCGCCACTAATGAGCTATTTCAGCAATGCATTGGGTGAAAAATTTGGTAATTGTACACTCGACTTTTCTATTGAAATAATTTTATTTAATGTATTTCTTTTCTAAATATGATGAGTCGAAACATAAGAGACATTAGTGCAAATGCGTTTTAGTGTGTAATTCTATTCGTCATCGGCGGACCCCATCAAGTGCGCTGGGGGAATCTAGCTGCTCAGTGTTGGCAGCGCACGTTGTTGTAATTTAGTTTCATTTGTGCATGAAAATGAATTTGTATTATTGTTTGCATTAATTTGCCTTATTAATTACATTTATGTCCATTGCCGACAACGACGATTGTTTCTATTTCTTTATATGTATATATAAATATATATATATA